TCCGTTGGAAAATTCCAACGGATGCCGGTTGGAAATCCGTTGGAAATTTCCAACGGAAAAATTCGTTGCAATTCCGTTGAAAATTCCAACGGTTTTCCAACGGACACCGATGTCTAACGACGAAATTCCAACGGATAAATCCGTTGGAAACGTTAATTTCCAACGGAAATTTGGCCATTTCCAACGGATTTACCCGTTGGAAATGACCATTTTTTTTGTAGTGGTTATTGATTTGTATATGGCTGTATTTTTTTTTATCATTGTGTGCTCTTAATTTGAGCACAAATATTAATTGATACCGTTCTCTATGAGAACGAGATTTTCGAATTCAACTTGGGTCATTCACTAAGCAATATGTTTAGCCCTTCATTAATAAATTTTTCAAATCCCGAGGAACACGAGTAGCAACTTCAACAATGACTCCAGAGTAGCAGAACTACGTATGGGTGTGGATTTGTATTTGGACTTGGGACAATGATCCCATATTTTTACGGTAGCGTCATGGATAATCTCGGACATGTGTTGCTTTTAATTGATGTTGTAATATTATTCCGTTGCTTTAACTCTGAGTAAAAAAAATAAAATTCCCGCATTTTCATTTATGTATTATTTTATTATTTATCGTCTATGTGACACAAACTGTATACAGAATACGGATTACGGGTGTCACAAATCAATACGTCTTAGTAGTGATCAATTATGATTTATGAACCAAAATTGGATTTCGGGATTGTTGTTGTGCCGAAACGATAAGAAAAATCGGATTTTTTTAGGGTCTTAGACTGGTCTAGACGAACGTGAACCGTACTGGATTACAGGCATGAAATCTCAATAAGCTATTCACAGAGTTCACCTTTTATTTTTGCCGTAGGTGTAGGTGAAGTATGTCACGTGTTTGGACTCGATAGTTATAAAAAATACAAAGATTAGAATTTTTATTTTATGACTTTAGTATTTCATGTATATGTTAGTATATTTAATTGTTTGATATTTCCACCATAGATATGAAATATCATAGTACGATTTTGAATAAACTAGTTTTTCTTTAAAATTCAAGTGACGATTCATCCGATGTGTCATATTGGATTTGGATTGTTACAATAATAATTTATTTTAGTATCACATCTAATCTCACAACAAATCAATACCATTTGTGAAAAATATATCACTTGTTGTGAACCCTCCGTCGAAGCAGACTACGCCTTCGAAAACCCCCCAAGTAACCCATCTTCAACTCTAGCCCCAACAGTCCCTGCTCCTGAGCCAACTTCCCCCCCTCCTGAGCCAACTTCCTCTGGACCAACTTCCCCTACTCCTGAGCCAACTCCCCTTGTCCCCGGATTAACATTCCTTGCCACTACTCAACCGAAGGCTGCATCTTTAAACTCAGAGGCTCCCCTCTGTGTCATTTGAACCCTCCGTCAAAGGCACAATCTCAAGAAATTTTGAAGTCTATCTCAACCTCTAACCAGGCACAACAGAGGGAGAAGCACACCTGTGGATCCAAGGTGAGTTATACCTTTGATTCTGAAGACGAACTAGTCCAAAAAATCTGATGATTGTTACGCGCTAGATCGGTTATTGCCCCCAAAGTTCCCTCCCTCCGACTTCTCAGTGGTCACGCGGGATCGTAAGTGTAAGGGTCGCGTCAAATGATCTCCACCGCAAATATCTGTCAACTTTTTGTCTTTTTGGTACAACGATAAACTATGATGAAACTCTTTTGTTGGAACGTACATGGAAGAAATGACTATGTCAAACAATGGAGTGTTCAACAATGAACAGATGGTCAGAAGTCCTCCATTGGTTGCTTAATAGAAAATCCGACTTTGCTACTCATATTCCTAGTGAATCTATCTTAACATATGGTTCCAATACTTTGATCAATTATAATTCTCCAAACTTCAACCTCTCTTTTGCTCTATTTCGGAGGTAACTCATTGTAATCGAGCAACATACATATATACAAATTTACCGTTTAACAAAAAAATATTGCACGAGTTTCAATGTATTTGGGGGTATCCGCTTTTATAAAAAAATTTATTTTTGTGTTTATCTTAATTTTTGATTTAGTTTATGCATGAAAAAAAATGAGCATTGGAATGGTCTTAGTTCCTTTCCTGCCTCCAATTCTGGATCAGAGGGAACGACAAAGGCCTAGGCCCCACCATTTTTTGGATAGAAAGGTAGAATTTTTTATTTTTTCATCTTGTCAAAGAGTTGAAGAATAGTTTTTTCGTATTGTAAAAAAGTTGAACTATGAAAATAATGTAATACAGGATTTCTTTGAATTCTGACTGAAACTCTCTCTTAAATTCACTATTTCTCAAAGATAAAAATAAAGTATAGATTACTATATATATACGGATTGAAGTATAACTATTCATGATTTCATAATTGAATTAATTACATACTAGTTCTAAACTAGAGGAATATTATGGTAAAACTTCGTTTATAATGATGCGGTAGAAAGCAACACACATAACAAGAATTATTTCTTGAAAATTTAAAATTATAAAAAATAAAATATTTTAACTATTAAAATATATTGCAAAAAATAATTTGAAAATTAAAATGCATTTGTCACATTTAAAACAATGCTGTTCGAATAAAAAACAGTTAGGAATGCAACTTTTCAAGATCTTTAATGAAACTTGAAAAGTATTGAAAACGTTAAATTGGATATATAAATGTTGTTTGAAAGTTGTTATCCATATATGACTTCTTGATGTTTATCATTCACCTAATAATATGATCCAAACAAATTGCTTAACATTATCATTATCACTAATCTAAACGAGAAAATACCATTTTTAAAATTTGTATAATTAATTTATTTCGAATCAGAATTCGAACTATAAGTGATAAGAAAATTTCAATGAAAACTAACAAACTAAATCAAATTTCATTCTCTATTCATAAAAAAAATTAAATATATGAAAATAAAAAAGAATCAAATTTTGATGTAAATCGAATAAAATAACGAAGTTAGCACGAAACAAGTTTGAAAGAAATTATGATAAATCAAATTAACTTACTAAATATTATCAATCTATTATTCAAAGGTTAAAATATTATATTGAGAAATATACAATTTTAAATATTATAAATTTCAAATAAAAATATTTTTTAACAAAATTAAGGGAACATTTCAAAAAAAAATTATCGTAGTTTGAGATAATCGACATATTAATACTGAACTTTTTGACTTTTAAAATAAATATGAATTTATCAATTTTAACCCAAAAAATATTGAACTTTTAAAATTTTGATAAAAAGTTTATCGACATTAAAAAAATTAACGAACGATCAAACATGGTGTTGATATTTTGTTAAGTCATCTGTCACATTAGATAAAAATTAAACGAAAATAAAAAATAATTATAATCAAACAAAAAATAAAAAAAATATAAGTATAATAAAAATAATATTTATAATTAAAACTATTTAAAATTAAAAAATAAAAATTACTATATATATACACACAAGTTATATATAAATAATTATAATAACTTTAAAAATAATTAAAATTTATACATATATAATTACATCACATTAAAGCATCTTTTTTTTTTTAACCAAAGGGTGGTATGCATGCCATGCACACAAGTTAATATTGAGAGTGATATTTTTCAACATCGTAATTATGAAAGGTTTTGACTTTTATGAACTTGTGTGTGTGTATAAAAAAGATGTAAACCCTATATGCAGTGCGGGCAAACATGGCTTCAACCGTTACCTTGGATTTCCTCCAAAACAGCTTCATCTTCGTCCTGGTAATCTCACTTCTCTCTCTCCTTTACAGTTTCTTCAACAAATCCAATGATCAAATAGAAAGATCATCACTTGCTCGTCTTCCTCCAAGCCCTCCGAGCTTGCCCATCATCGGCCACCTTCACTATCTTCTCTCCAAATCGCTCTTCAAGTCATTTACCGAACTTTCCTCCAAACACGGCCCTCTCCTCTATCTCAGCGCTTTCAACTTCCCAATACTTCTCGTCTCGTCTTCTTCAGTCGCATACGACATCTTTAGGACAAATGATGCGAATTTCTCGTCTCGTTATCCCTCTACTATCGATAATTCAATCATATTGGGGCCTTATGGGTTTATCACTGCACCCTATGGTGACTATTGGAGATTCATGAAGAAGATTGTTATCACTGAGTTGCTTGGCCAACAATATCTCGAGAGATCTCGAGGTATTCGTGATGAAGAGCGTGAGAGGTTCATCGTTAACTTGGTGGAGAAGGCAAAGAGAGGAGAGGTCGTTGACGTGGGTAAAGTGTTGATGAAGCTCACAAACAGTAGCATTTGCAAGATGGCTGTGGGAATGAGTTGTTTCGAGGCGGATGGTGAGGTGGAGAAAATCGAGGCTTTAGTCAGTGAAACATTCGGTGTGTCGAAGAAGATACTGGCAACCATTGCATTGCGTTGGCTCAAGAGATTCGGGATCTCGTTGTTCGAGAAGGACGTGTTGGATGTTTCTAGAAGGTACGATGAGTTGTTCGAGAAGATTATTCGGGAACACGAAGAGAATCCAAACAGAGAGCACAAGGACATGATGGATGTTGTGTTGGAGGCCTATCACAACGAAAAGCTCGAGTACAAGATCTCACGGAACCAGATCAAGGCCCTTTTCGTGGTAATCTAGGATTAATTCTTAATCCATACAAATATGATCACTAAATTGTGTCTAGCATATAGTAGTTCAAAATACAAATATGATCAGAATTTGAGATCTTATAAGCCTTAATTAACATTTTTGAATCGGTGGTGCATTTTTTCATAATGAATTTGCTTAGTTTAGGGAACTAAACATATATAAGTACTCCTTTATATAGTATTTCACTATCAGAAAAATAAACCTTAATATAACTCCTTTACAGAGTAATATTTGGATGCCCTTCGTGGGTTGGTTTGAGAGTTCATGATTTTCCAAGTGGTCATGGATTCGATTCCACTCTCCTGCCACCCTGTCATCCTAGGTGGTTTATACGTTCTACGTGGTTGTGCATGCTCTTGTGTGAAGTTAGAGTTGATCACCGTAGACCAAAGAATGTGGATGAGTTTTCACCGTTAAAAAAAAAAAAAGAAAAAAAATATTTGCATGAATCACAACACATGGATTGCTTTTTATAATCTGAAAATGTTTAAAGGAAGTGATATTAGGGATGGACATTTCGGTTTGGTTCTTCGGAACCGGACCGAACCGAACCGAAAATACGGTATTTTTTTCGATCCGAAACCGTTCTCAATTGCCGAACGGTATTATTTTTAGAGAACCGATTTTTTTCCGAACCGAACCGAACTTTAAAAAATCCCGAAAAACCGAATATTTTTAAAGAAAATCTATCTTTTTTTAATAAAACCCGGAAATGAATCGAACCGATACCGAAACCGACCCGAACCGAACAAAACATAATATAAAAACCGATTGGTACCTATTTTTTCAAAACCGAAAAAATCGAACCGATCCATTCCCGTCCCGAACCCGAACCGTTTCCCAAAACGCCCACCCCTAAGTGATATGATTGCGTATCACTAAAGTTCCACTTCCTTTTCACCATGGTTTTGTATCTTCTTTATACTGATAGATTCTTCTCCTACTTTAACCTAACACGAAATGAATTATTGTAGGAACTCTTCGTTGCAGCCACCGACACGTCATCACAAGTGGCACGTTCGACAATGGCAGAGCTCATAAACCATCCCTCTGCCTTTCAGAAGTTGAGAGAAGAAATAGACTCAGTCACAGGAACGAAAAGGCTACTCCGCGAAACGGATCTTCCGAATCTCCCTTACTTGCATTCGGTCATGAAGGAAGGGCTAAGATTGCATCCACCCGGGGCTCTATTACCGAGAAAATGCGACAAAGGATGCAAAGTTGGAGGGTTTGATGTTCCAAAAGGCAGCTTACTACTTGTTAATTACTATGCAATGATGAGAGACCCGAGTGTTTGGGAGAACCCGGATGAGTTTCGGCCGGAGAGATTCTCGCTTGCTCATGTGGGCAGCCGAGAAGTTAACAAAGAGAAAGCTCTAAAGTACGTTCCCTTCGGGGCAGGAAGAAGAGCGTGTCCGGGAGAAAACTTGGCTTATGTCTTCATGGGCATGGCCATAGGAACAATGGTGCAGTGTTTTGACTGGAGAATCGACAGTGGGAAGGTTAACATGGAGGAAGCAGGCTACATGGCCTTGAGGATGGCTTATCCATTCATGTCTACTCCTGTTCTTCGCTTCAATCCATTAGCTTCTACAACCTCATAAATTTGCAAACTCACGGTGTTATATTCCTAATGTTCACATGCCTAGAATATGTACCATGAACGTGTAAGAATAAAATACGTGAAGAGTAATATATATATATATATATATATATATAAAAGAACATGGGACTTACTGTGATTTGGTTACAAGAACCTATGTGCATGGCATCATCTTTTGTGTTTTCAAGTAGATACAGTAATAAAGATAAAGAAGAGTTGGAGAATGTTGTGGGATAAGCATAGGCTGTACACTTGTTTTTATAGAACGTAAGATACTAAATATCAAACAAATTGTGTATCGAAACACAAATTTTCCCATTTTAAAAAAAAAAAATCCAAAAGTTGGAAGATAGCACATAAAAAGAATTTCAAACATCCATCAAGTTCATCACCCTCAACTCCTGCTTTCCATCCATTCAAGGAAAATCATGAGAACACATTAGGCTACAATGTGAAATGAGGCAACAAAACTGTGAGGGTTCATGTTTGGAAAAGTTCGGGCTGATGTCTACTTTCTTAACCTTGTTTTAACCTGAAACAGTCTGCGGTTTCTGGTGGTGATGACGTTCCTTCTTGTACCGAGCCTGCTCAGGGTCAAATCCACCTTCCTCTGCCCCGTAGACTGCCCAAGACGGTGTAGGAGCCATGTAATCCTCGCTAGTGAATGGTTTTCCCGAAGCCACCTATTGATTCCAAGCAAAAACCGAGTTTTTCAATAACATAACCAGCCAGATTCCCAAAATACCGAGCAGGAGATCGATCATATGGGTACTAACAGAAACCGAGTTAATTCAACGACATAACCAGCTAGATGTCTGAAAGTCGATCATATGGGTACCAACCAAAACCTAGTTTATTCAACGAAATAACCAGCTAGATTCCCGGAATACCGAGTATGAGATCCTATGCTTACTAACTAAAACCGAGTTTATTCAAAGACATACCCAGCTAGATTCCAAAATTACTGAGGATGAGATCATATGGAAAATAACCAAAACCAAGTTTATTCAAAGACATACCAACGAGATTCCCGAAATACCGAGCATGAGAACATATGGGTACTAACCAGATTGTGGAACTTTTCATAGTCTATCCAAGTGAACCATTGTCCATTCACTTTGAACTTATCAGTTTTGGCCAGAAGAACACAACAAGAATGGGCATGCTCGCAGGCAACTTGGTATTCTCCTCCACTCTTGCTAGCTAAAGCCTCGGAGAAAGCTTTGACATCTGAATGCCATGGTACATTCTCCATTGTTAACTTTGATGTTGCAGAGCTGGAAAATGGATCACCAAAGGTCTCATCAGGTGGTTATGCTATGGATAAGATGAGTTACTAGAGTCGAGAGGATAGAACGTGATACTTACGATCCACAGTACGTGACACCTTTGATCTCGATAAAATCAGGTTTTCCAACGTTAAAGAGATTGAAATACGCATCTATGTCCTCCGTGTTCCAGCCTTTGACAAGGGTCAAACGGTATACAGTTCGCTGCTTTTTCTCTTGAAGAGATTTCAGGGAACCCTAGAATAACGAAAATACGGTGAGTAACATTTTCCTCCATTTCACATATCAGCTCGAGGAAGAATACTCACGATGAATCGCTCCCAGAAGTCTCCAAAGAGAGGCCTATCAATGGCCTTCAGGCTATCTTTTGTTGCAGCATCTACACTTACATATAACTGCAGACATCAAGGTTGATCAATGAGTTCTGTTTCCAGTAAACAAACATAAAACTTTCTATATTTGGGTTTTATAAAAGTTAAAACAGACCTGGGTGATAGGCTTCAACATCTTAATCCTCTCAGGGAATTGTGCATTAGTCACTAGAAATGTAGAAATTCGTCTTTGATGTAGTTCATCTACGAGGGCATTGATTTCTGGATACATAATTGGCTCACCAACAAGAGATAATGCACAATGCCTTGGAGAGAGGCCTTCCGTTAATCTCTCCGTTGTAACACCTAAAACAACAAATTGAGTAGATAGATCCTTTGAATCTGATGTTTAAAGAAATGCAAGAAAGAAAACCAAACAAAGGAAGTGCTGAACAGATACTGCCCGAGGCATTGTACTGTGTAAAACAAAAAACTTGGGATTAAAACACCGATTCTCTATTGAGGTCTAATTTGATACATATAGACTCGCTTATCTATTATCCTACAGAGCTTTGTTAAGGCATTAACGCGCTTGCTGGGCCTGGCTAGTTTCTTCTTCAAAACTTCTCAATAGCAAAGTCAAGCCAGGATATGGATTTAGTTTCATTACCCATAAGAAACCTAAATTCATTAGCATACAGTTTCATGAACAATGAGAATACTCAATCGGATCTAAACTCCAGCTTGGCACACAGAACAATAGCAAATAGACCCATCAATCATCACAATATCTTCTCAATAGTTCATCTATTCCCAATGATTTTGTGCATATTTAGTCTGAGAGCCAAACATCAGTACAGAATATAGACATACCTGGAACTCCTTTCATCTGTTTAATCATTTTTGTATGAAGCTCCAGAGCAGTCTTTACAATCTCCGAAGGGTCATCCATCTTCCACTGCCAGCTTTTTCCTACAGGATTCGTGTGATGCCTCCAACAAAAAACACATTTGTTTGCACACGCCAAACTGGGTGTTGCTTCCATGCATCTGATTCATTCAGAAAGTTTCAAAATGATTACGTGACTATCGTTCTACAAGCACAAATTCTAAGAATTGAAATCCAACTAAAAGCTTAGGACAACCTGTGACTCTCAATGCCATAAAATGAATGCTTGTAGCAACCTCCCCGGCCTCTAAGCTGGGACTTTGTCCATCTACATATCTTAACACCACTATGTGAACCAATGATCTTGTACCCCTGCAAAATTCAGATAACTTAAGAATGTGCAAAACCCAAGGCTGCTTCAAGCTCAAGCAAGTTAAACCCATATGAGTTTCAAGACATGATCAACTAAATCAACCTCAAACCATAGTACAACTATGAAATTCTTCAGACAAGCATTACATACGTACCTGCTTCTGCAAGCTTGCTCTGATCACAGGGGTCACCATTTCTTTCTTCCCATTCATTTGAGTGACATTTACGGAACCGTTTCTCTTCGAAGGAGCTTTTCCGGCAATGTCTTCAACATCGACAACCTCGGCCTCCATATCATTATCTTCATACTCGTCACCTGAAGACTCAATAATCTCGCCATCACTCTCTAAAGCTCCATTCTGCGAAACCCCATTTGTTGATTGAACAGAACCTCCCTTCAGAAACCTAATCACTCCATTGCACCAATCATCAAAAACTCTATCCAATTCACCGTCGTCAACATCACCTTCTCCCACCGGAAAAATCTCGGAGCCTCCCAATTCTCTCATCCGCTTCGACCATTCCTTCGCTACGGCATTGTACGTCTCGCCGTACGCGCGGCTTCCGACGCCGAAAACTGCGAACTTGCAATTTGAGAGCAAAAGCGACCCGACGCGGAAATCATCAGCGCTCTCCGACAACCAATTAACTATAAACTCTCCGTTGCCAGGTGATTTCCCGCCCGCCCAAGTCGACGCAATAGTAATCACTAAGGTTTCCTTGGAGAGATCTTCGGGTTCATAGCTCCGAGGATCGACGAGATCAAAGGCAACGTCGCTCGATGCACTGAGCCTATGGAGCCGGTGAGCTAGGGTTTTCGCTGTTCCGGTTTCAGAGATGAAAAAGATCTTGCCTCTGGTGGAGTTGGATGAGGATTTAGGATTTAAGGAGAGGTTTCTGAGACGTTTCAAGCGACGGTACTGGTAGAAACAGTACAAGGTGGTGACTGAGAGGAGAGCGACGATAGTGACACGAGCTCGTATGGAGGAAGAAGAAGAAGAAGAAGAAGAAGAAGAAGAAGAAGAAGAAGAAGAAGAAGAAGAAGAAGAAGAAGAAGAAGAAGAAGAAGAAGAAGAAGACATAGCGACGGATGTGAGGTTTGAAGCAGCGGAGCCAGAGGGACTCACGGCGGCGCGTGGAGTACACGCGAAACAAAGGAGAAAGGAGAGGAACGCAGGAGGAACGACGACAAAATGGAGAAAAGGTTTAAGAAATGGGCCGATTTATATTGAGACCTTTCAAGATATGGGCTTCCATTTCCCCATTTCTACAGGCCCATTAAAATTATACTGAAGCCCAAGCAAGGCAAATCTCATGGGCTTTTGTATAATGCATAAAGTTACGTAACCCAAAGTCACAAGGGCATAATGGTTGATTTAGCCGCTGAATTTGGAGTCAATATTCTACACACACACACACAAAAAATCAATGTACATAAGATTCACTTATTGATTGGGTCGAGATCTCTGTCTCTTCTTCTCTCATTGCCCTTTCCCCATATGAACCTCGAGTCATCAAAGTCTTCCATACCCTTGTTTAGTACTCAAAATACTTGTCCAAAATATTATTTGGCATGATCCATAGTACTGTAAAACGTTATGACAGAAATACTCGTTTGGTACTCAAACAAATCGATCGAGATATTCTTCGACGCTCGTGTACTGGACATCGGGATAAAGCTGAGAAGCTTCGGCTCCAAAGGAAGGTTTTATAGTAAAACTTGTCTGATCACCCTTCACAAAAGATTGCATGAATCATAGATAAGATGGCGTTGATGGGTGTTGGCAACTCTGCAAGTAAGATGTGATGCTCACATATGTTAAAAAAAAATTATAGGAGCTATGAATTCAATTTGTAAGAAAAAAATACAATTTAGTTTGAACTATTAGCTATTTCAATCCATTTCACAAAAAAAAACTTGAGACGCCTTTTAGTTAATAGCTCAGTAGTTGAGAGGTGCCAGTCATTTTGAGATCATGGGTTCGATTCCACTAGTGGAGATGAGGGACACAATTAATTGTGTGACTAAAGACTTATTCCAGACTCAGAGGATGTGGGCCGAAGCCCTAGTGAATCTTCTGATTATAAAAAACGTGAGGTAATTAGATAAAGAAACCTTGGATTTGCTTGAGGAGTTCCTCCTCGGGAAAATACGTTTTTTCGAGGGTTTTTCCGATTTTATTTTCCCACAGAGTAACCAAATCATTCATTGAAACGATGTTGTCGGGAGGGTTGACGTAGAGGACTTTGTTCAGTGTTGTTGGGTCATCGACTGCTCTTATTGTGTAGGCAGCGATATCTTCTTCTTTATTGATAATGGCTGGTCAAATACAATAAAATAAAAATGATATTATTATAAAAGAGCAGGGAATATCGTAAAAAAAACATGAAATTTGTAAATTTGACAAATAAATACATATACTTCTAATTTTGTATAAAAATAGATAAACTTTGAAATTTTTCGCGTAAACCCACAGAAACACTAAATTCAATTGATTTTTGTGTGGTTGTATGCGAAAAAATTCAAAATTTGTGTATTTTTATATAAATTTGTGTATACCAAAAATTTCAAAGTTACAATATTAAAAGTTCAAGTATTTATTTGTCAAATTTAAAAAGTTCATTTTTTTTTGCTATACTCCCTTGAAATTATTACCAAGATTTTCATAATCAGAATAGTTTTCTATGCATATTTGTTGTGATGATGAAATCAAATGTTTAGGGAGTAATTAAGGTTGTCAAAATGGTCTCAATTCAATCTTTAACCTTTAAACTAGTTAATTAAAAATTCGAATCCCACATGTCACGAAAACTATACGAATGTAACTGCTTATTTGACGTAAAATATTTGTTTTCAAAATTACTATATATATATATTATGTATTTTCGGGTATTTTATTAATCAAACCCATGGTTAAAAAAATGAAATTTATATTATATGTTTTTAAGAGTGGCCAAATTTAAAACCTTAGATATATTCCGAAGCTTTAGCATTATAACGAAAAAATGCGAACATTAGAGAACATATATATATATATATATATATATACCTTTGGCATTACCATCACCATAAATGGTAACTTTGTCTCTAGGTGGAGAAGTTAGGGTTTGATTGAATTGAACCAACGTTGGTAGGAAATAACCCGCAAAGCAGTTGCAAGATACAAAGGTGTGTGCTATTCTTTCGGCTTCTATGGCTCGTCGGATTTGAGCTTTGGCCGAGAAGAATGATCGCCCCGGCTTGACCACGGTTGTCCGGTCCACGTCGGTCTCGAAATCCGATGGAAAAAATCTCTATCCCAAAATTCATCCGTAAAGAAAAAAGAGTTAGTTGAATTAAGCTTTAGTACTAATAAAGATGGACTCGTATCTCGTCGAGTTAGCTCGTCAAACTCGCGAGGTGAGATGTTTTTTTAAAAAAAAATATATATTTTTATGTTTTATATATATTTTTTAAAAATATTTAATTTAATTTTTTTATTGATTAAACATTATAATTTCTGACATATATTTAGGTTTTAATATTTTAAAATTTAAATTTCATATCAAAATATCATTTTATTTAGTAATAATATAAATAAAAAATATTATATTTTATTTAGTTCGAAAAATTGACGAATCATGACTCGTTTAAAAACGAGTGTAGCGAGCCGAGCCCAAAACAAACTGGGTGGTCACGAGCCGATCCGAGCTGACTCGTTTTGACACACCTACATTTCTACGTATCTATGCGCTGACCTTAACGTTACCGGCTTCCTTGATGGCATCGATGATCTTGATCTGATTGAATATTTGTGAGTGGCCAACACTCGATATCACCACATCGACTAGTTTAATCGCCTTCACTACACTCTCGTAATCCTCCAATTCCCCCTGATTCAACCCAACGATACCACATAATGTTATAAAACCCCTTACAAACAAAACCTGCACAAAAAGAACTGAGTAACAACACTCAAATATATAACGAGAAATGTTGGAAAAGGTCCATATAATCTATAGATCGAGTGAAAGAAGAGAAGAAGAGAGAGAGAGAGAGTGGGTACATAGAGTATGTGGACACCGAGATGTTTGAAACTCGGGGTTCGCCCCCAGGTCAGGTGGTAGTGAGCATGGGGAGCACCCATGAGGTGGGGGTTCGATTCCTCGCCGTCTCACTTCCTCTGACCTGCTCGCCTGTCAGCCTGTCATAACGGGCTGATTTACCTCCTACGCGTATGTTGCAGACTCGTGCGCGTGGGCTTGGGGTTTGATCCGCAGGCGTCTAAGCCCAACTACGGCCCGAGCGTTAGGCGCGCCTGGTGGCCAGGTCCGGCGGACTGAGGTCTATGGGGACTGTTAGGCGCGGGTGGTGGCCAGTTCGTCTCCGTTTGTAAGGGTAGGTAGTCACGGGGATTCTCCAATGTATAAAAAAAAAAAGATGTTTAAAACTCTCGACGAGGTTAGACTGGTCGGGACAAGAAAGAGATGCTTTCCGGACGAGAGCATACGTCGGGTGACCCGAGTTGACACTCGCTTCGACCAGGAGTTTGCCGAGAAGCCCTGTCCCTCCGATCACGAGGATCTTGCTTTTCTCCCACATTGTCCCAAGATCTTCTTCTCCTTCCCCTCAAGAATGCGAATCAAAAACCATGGTCAGATACAAGTTTCCAATTCCAAATCTACCCTTAACACGTGCGGTCAAAACGTGGTTGGTGAAGGTTAATTTCGGTAGTTCGTTTGTTATGCACATCGGTTGGTTATGCAATTTTTTAAAGATTATAATTTTTTAATTTTCACTAAAAGTGTCATAATTTTTTTATAAAAAATTCAAAACAAAATGTATTTATACTGTTATACATACCCAAATCAAATTCAATCTAAAAGTTGATCCAATATTTTAATCCAAATAACAAAAAAAAAATAAATCAAAAAACAAAAACTTGTTAAATAATATATTTTTTTAAATGAAAACCAAACTATATTAAAGACAATAGAAATATAACACCTTCAAACTGTATACATGAAATGATACAATTCTACGGAGCCAAGAAGCCTGTGCTTCATCACTATTGCCTCCCCAAAGGACCAAAACTCTTGTGCAACTGTATGATGAAGAAGATGAAGAATGACGAAGATCAAGGCCTCCATAAAGTCTTCTGTGCACATAACATTCCTTCTTTCTCTTGAGCATAAGTCATACGAATCTCCCAATGCAAGCTTCGTAGAATACCTTCCAATGGCTCTAATATCTCTACCTTGTCCCTTACGATCACCCACCCTCCTGGCCTTGTCAGTCTATCCATTTCAACCACTATCGAAGCTGGTTGCTTACACCTGGAGATTTTGATTCACGGGTTTGTGTCCAATCAATGCAATGATGGGCATAATCTGCCGGGTTTTTCTTTTCCTTGATCGGTTGTCAAGAAAACGAGCTCAAGATGCGGAAAAATGCAATCTTTCAGATCAAGTTTACGTGTCAACCAGAGAGGAAAAGGAAGAATCGACGGACCTGTTCTTGAGCCGAGAGAAGAGATGATCGGCATGAAGCAGGTCGTATGATCTTGGATATGTCCCGAAAGATTCGCACCAGTCGTGGTACATGCCGATGAGGCCTCTTTCGTATATGAAAGGGAGCGTGTCTGGTGCATGAACAGGCACCACGTTCATTACCCAGACGTTCTGCTTCACGAGAGCAGCCGCAAATCTGTGAAGAGTAAAACCCAAAACGCTGAGAATCATATGTTCATAATCTGATAGTATCAATGGTAGGATTCACCATGGCAGTCCGTGATCTAAATTTGGGTTCATAACAACTAAAAAAGCAATGAATATTGATGGGTTGATCTTCATACCCGCCATAGATGGCAGTCATGTCCATCACATTCCGGATACGTGACCAATCAATCCCGAGTCCAGTGAGGTAAGATTGGTTTACAAAAGCTTTCCAACGATCAGTATCGGCTATGGCTTTCTCTTTCTGGTTTAACCACTCAGGGTATGTTTCTAGTCTCTTGGGCCATTCTTCAGGCCACTCTGTACCATGCTGTTCAATTGCAGACGGTATCTCATGCAGACAGGTTTTCATTGGAACATACCTGTCCAAAAGAACATATAGGACATTACTTCAAGAAGTTTTCAACACCTCGGTAGCAACATTTGGAGTATAAACTCACATAGATGATGTAATTACAATGACAACAAAATTTGGGCATTCAATTCAATACATGTCTAGATACTGCAAAGCCCGACAAAAACCGAGACATATAAGTCAACCTATGCATAAGAAAGATTCATCTGTAAAGATCATCAATTTCATTGCTTACCAGGCTGCATCTGGGTTTTCATTCTCCTTGCAGATAGGAGGATTTTTCTTCCTTCTCAGTTCGTAGATATCATTCGATTCTGGTTTCTGATATATTCTTACCCCCATTTCACTCGTTTCATCGGTTTTGTGAGCCAGAATGTTCCAACAAATGGATGCGGTCAATGAGGTCATCGCTGGAACACAGTGGGAAGAAAAATAAGTTGCGGAAAAGTAACGAAAGATGACAATATACTGCAAATCCACTCAAATGGTTTACGTCAGATCTATAGGCACCAGAAGAATATTATGGACCAGTGACGAACATACAGTTCCTAAAGAGATAAGTGCTAAATCCTTAATTTCCCTAAAAAACGTTCATTGGAATAGAACAGTAATCTAGGATGATGAAAGGAGATTTGGTACTCTGGTAATAAAGTTTGCAAATTCACAATGTAGAGGACAGACCTTCATCATCCTCGATCTTCTCATGTGTACTCGACAAAATGAAGTACCCGTTAGGCCTCAAAATCCTGTTCATTTCCAGAAGAAGTTTGACACCTGAGATTGACAAGGAAAAAATGGTCATGAAACCACACAAGCAAACTATGATCTAACAAGGAAAAAAAAGGAAATTAAAGATAAAAAAAGAGAAGCATCATTGGAGAAACCCGAACCATGGGAATGCCAGTGGATCCCACAGGCAGCACAGTGAATGGCATCGAAGACACCACTAGGAAAAGGGAGCCGTCTATTTGCCAGATGGCTGACCACGGCAGGAAACCCTCGCTCAAGGGAGACCTGTGCTAGATCGACTAGATCGTCTTTCAAGCCTAGTGATAGTGTCAGAACGTCCTTACCAAGCAACGCAGCTACAAAGCTCGAGTCTGAACATCCGATATCCAAAACTACACGAACATTCTTTCCCCATTCAATATCTGGTACCATCTATGAAAAGCCAATCAAATTTCAAACCACTAAGACACAAATCAATAATTAGAACTCGTACTATTTTTTATAATTTACATCAGATGGAAAATCATAATATAGAGATATGTCTTCTTAACGGATACACAGAACTCAACTCAGACCGGAAGTTCATGGAGCAAAATGATGCTCACCTCCTCAATGAATTCGAGGTACTGAAGAACACTGTCCTTGAACATAGTCTGATTCGGCGGAAAGGTAAGGTATTCCCCTGTCTCTGTTAGCCAATTGTGTTGCTTAATGTATGTAGCCAACTTCGGATGGGCAATGTTTTTATACAATACCTGAAGTAACAAAAAGGGCTAAATCGAGAGAGGGAGAATAAAAAGGAAAAAGAAAAACTACAGAAGCATGGAAAACAATAAGCTCGATAATCATCTCACCTTTGACTTGCACTCCGGCCATGTAACCGGGGAATCATAGCCATCATGCGGAAGAGGAACCAAGCACATAACAGGTTTTCTTGGACAAGTCCTTTCTCTGTATCTATAAACCTGAAGCCTTCCCATTATCCCATCATTATCAACACACGGAATGTAATTGTGCTTGCTCCTAGTGCTACACAATCTCCACCTATAACTAGCTTTTGGATCGAACACAGGACCCTTTATCTTCCTCTGCTTCCTTCTCTCACTAACTTCCTCAATCTTTTCTTCTGCTTCTTGATCCACCGCTGCATTCGAATCATCCCCATCTCCATCTCCATCTCCATCTCCATTACCATCACCTTCAACATTGCTATTGCCATCACCTTCACCAGTGCCTTCTTCCACTCCTTCTTCTCCTGCTTCCTTCCGAGACTCAGAATCATCAGATTCTGATTCCTCTTGTTCTTGGTTCTCTTTATCTTCCTTACCTTCCACTTCTTCCACCACAGGCTTCACCACTTCTCTCTTCTTATGTGGATGCGATACAACATGCTCTTTCTTTTTCCTAGTTTCATGCTTATGAACAGGAGCAGAAACAGAAATAGACCCATTAACCTTTTTCTCATTGATATGTTTCGGACCTGATCCAACCTTACCTTTCTCACCCACTTTGCTCGATCCCTGTATCCCTTGAGCTGTCTTGGTGTTAGATGAAACTGGTTCAGTTATGTCATCGAAGCTTTCTCTTTGGACAGTGATTGAAGATGCAGAAGAAGAGAAGAAAGACCAAAAGAAGACGAAACATAGACCCAACACAGCTACAGCCGCCATTTTCAACCAAATCCCACGAGGCCGTTTTAATCTCCGGACCAAACGGAGAATCGCTGTCTCTCTCTTTCTCTCCGCCATCCCGGAATCGAAGAGAAACAAACGCTAAACGAATCAAATCGACCGATATCTCGAAGACCCACTTCGACCCAACTTGGATCAAGCTGATAGAGAAGCTAAACTATGCTACGATGAGCAAAAAACCCAAAAATATCTTTACAGATCTCGCAGGATCTACACGAGCTTCTACGATTCTTGAGCACGAACAAGTGGAAATTCACAGTACCAAGATCAAGCAAGAGTCAGCTGAGGAAGATGAAGTCGAAATCCGAGGTACCCTTATGATGAACGCCGCTAAAAAAAATTCAAGGATTTCTGACCAGAAAAACATGAAAAAGGAAACAATAAGGAAAATATTTGCCGCACCCGGAGAGGTTCGACCGCCATTAACGACGACACTTCCAACTGAATTTGACTTGAACCCAGCTGATGAAACTCCTGAATTACGACCTCAATTAATAAATATTGTCGTTAAAATCCTTTCCCCAATTCGCGGAGGCAAAAACAACGAAGAACTCGTCGCCGAGAAGATAGGTAGGTGAATCTACGGACAGCGGCTTTGTTATGTTCGGTCTGGGAATGTGCTTAAAGCGGCCAAAACAGTTGATTAGACTATTTGATCTAAAGGTTGATAGGATCAAATGATTCAAATCTACGTCCCGGGAGGATTAATCTTTGTTTTAGAAACTTAAAATCTTCCGATTGAATTTAGAAACCTTTTCTTAAAAAATATCGTTACATATAAAGCAATCCCCAAATCTTTTTTGATATTGATAGTTTATTCTTTTTTTTTTTTAATTATTTTTTACACGTTTTTTTTATTCGCATCATTCCTATTTTTCATATAGATTGCAATATTGCATAGCTATTTGCTTCCGTAGTCTTGGACCCCAGTTATTGCATACAAACCGTACATTTGTGGTAGTATTTACGTTTAGATATAAATTTAAGGATCACACTTAGATCGACCATACAAATAAAATAATAAATGAATAATCATATTATTCAATAATATTTATTACAAATATACATTTATTTTTGGAAGAGTTATACAACAATGCCATATACCATAGATGTGACCCATACTTCTAGCCCATGTGAATCGGGCCTTTTGCAAGTACGTGAGTCAGCATTATATAAAAAATATTCTTATTTTACTATTTTTACTTCAAAACATATTTTTTTATCATTGTGATCCATATGACCTAAAATATAGTGTAATTATATTTTGATTTTATTGATTATAATATTAAATTTATGGTGATCATACTAATTCATTATGTTTATATCTTGTATATCTTATTAATCATTTGATTAAAATATCATAAATTTAATATTACGATAAATGAGATCAACATGTGACCATACTATATTTTGTGTTTGAAGTAAAAATTTCTTAAGTAAAGATATTTTTGATAATGGTGGTATGAGTCCGTGACTCTGGTACGGTTTGGTATAGGCCACTCTTTTCTCGTTTTCAAACGTTTTGGTTCCGTGTCTCTTTGGATCATTACTCACGTCAATTCTCTATACTAGCTACTTTTTATTTATCCTCGAAATTAAATTAATAATTTCTCAACAATAAATTTGTTTTGAAAAATGAAAAAGTGTTTTGCACAAAAATATGACAATTCTATGTTTGACAATTATAATCAATTTTATATTTCAAATTTCTCAAAAAAAAAAATCCATAAAATTTAAAATGTTTAAATCAATACACTAAATTTATCAAAACTGCTTTGGGAAATTACAATGTCACCTCCAAAACATAAATCGGTGCACAACTATATTTAGTGAGTTTTGAACCGTCTACAAAGGATCATATTAAAAAAAAAAAATCATACTTCCTTTAATTTAAAATTAATTATTATGGTTAGTTTATTCTTAAAATTTTAAAAGAACGACGAAATATATAAATTCCTGTTTTTTGGTCTAGTGACCAAACGGTGAGCTGGAAACTCTGAACTAGTCCCCGTCTCCACATCAATTGACAATTTGACAGCCATATCATCTAGAGCCAAAAAAGAAAAATTTAAGAGGAGAAAATAATTGTTTAAGATGGCGTCTGATAAATTCGTGCTTATCCGAGTTTTGCTATCAAAATTCTCTCGACCCCGATTCTGTAGACCTTCTAAAGGCGAAGTCTTTGAGGGGATTCTTCAAATTTTCTATCGAGAATCGGCCATTTCCCATCACCGGACAAATCTTTAAAGCTCGAGTTTTTCTTTAGCTTTGGATAGAAGGGCTCGTGTTCGTGTAATCAGGATCGCGTAGTTTTACAGTTACGAAGATGGGTTCCCGAGACGATGCGGAGGATGGGAGGAATGATCTCCGGAGGCCGTTCTTACACACGGGGAGTTGGTATCGGATGGGTTCGAGGCAATCTAGTATGATGGGCTCGTCGCAAGTGATTCGGGACAGTTCCATTTCAGCCTTGGCATGCGTTCTGATCGTCGCTCTTGGTCCTATTCAATTCGGATTCACGGTCAGAAGTGAATATAATCACATCCTTTTTAGTGCTTTTTGCTTTGTTATGTTAGTCGTCAAAATGCGTGATTTTAATTGGCGTACGAGGAAGCATTTGCAGGAGATTAATGCGAGGTGAATTTGATGATCTGGGGACTTTTAGTATTGTCGGAATCTGTATGATCTAGTGATCGAGAATTCAAGTTTGTGTAAAACTTGATAAACTGGGATTTTGGTATTGTTGGCTTCTGTGTGGTCAATTGGTCTGGTTAGGTTCAAGAAATCCAGAGACGAATGAAAATGGGCTCATAGCATGTTCTGATCCGTTTCTTTGAATTCTGTCTTGTTTTGTTCAGTGTGGTTATTCTTCTCCAACTCAAGCTGCCATTACAAAGGATCTCGGTTTGACAGTTTCCGAGGTGAAAATCTTGTCTGAATCTAGCATCCTGTGTGGTTTATTGCTTGTTTGAATGTTGACTTGGATTTTTCACGTTCCTTGTTTAGTTCTCTGTGTTTGGTTCTTTGTCCAATGTGGGTGCTATGATTGGGGCAATTGCCAGTGGTCAGATCGCAGAGTACATTGGTCGGAAGGGGGTATGTTCTTTTTGACGATTTCTTATTGCATTCCCTCGATAATGACTTGTAATATCTTGTTCTCGCTACTATATCTTATCACGGTCAATCAACATCTGTAGTTGTGTTTTCCTCTCGTAGTCGTTGATGATTGCTGCAATTCCTAATATAATTGGATGGCTTTCCATATCATTCGCAAAAGTGAGTTTTCATTGCTCTCAAATTGATGTATTTGGTATTTTCTTTATTCGAATGGTGCCTTGGCCATGTTGATATATTCTCTAAGTTCTCCGAGTTTTGTAGGATACTTCCTTTCTTTACATGGGAAGACTACTAGAAGGTTTTGGTGTGGGGATTATCTCTTATACGGTAATATGAAACTTGAGCATTTATTTGCTTCAGGAATTTTGATGGCACGATATGTGCAGTATGTTTATTTCTACTTTATCGTGATTCAGGTGCCTGTATATATAGCTGAGATAGCCCCACAAAACATGAGAGGTGGCTTGGGTTCAGTTAACCAGGTTAAGCTCGTTAACTGACTGTTCTTTTGTACATTATACCGAACAGTTTCTTCGTGTTTTAAAATGAAATGTTGAATCTTTTTTGTTTTATAGCTCTCTGTTACAATTGGAATTATGTTGGCTTATTTGCTTGGTCTCTTTGTTCCCTGGAGAATTCTTGCAGTTTTGGGTAAGTCTCTCAATAAATTGATTCGATGGATCAAAGCCGGAGTCTTTTTCTCCTATACATTCTTTAGATTTCATGGATATCTATATGCTCAAGGAACTTTCTTTTTTGCCGTCATTGTTTTTTAGGTGTATTGCCATGTACGATATTGATACCGGGTCTCTTTTTCATTCCTGAATCTCCTCGGTGGCTGGTAGGCTGTTGTGAAAGTTTTCTTGCTGTTAAGTGTAGCACATTTGTTTGCTGGGTATCCGCTTACTGATGCTTTGTTTCACAAAATAGGCCAAAATGGGTTTGACTGACGATTTTGAAACTTCATTGCAAGTTCTCCGAGGATTTGATACCGATATTACCATTGAGGTTAATGAAATCAAGGTAACTACTAATGAGAAATGCTTCCTTCTTGTTCGAAGACAACACGATTTCTGTATGCAATAAGAGGAAGTTTATCTGAAATTTGTTTATATTTTCTGTACTCTGCAGAGATCTGTAGCGTCATCTAGCAAACGTTCTGCTATCCGGTTTGTAGACCTCCAGCGAAGGAGATACTATTTCCCTCTTATGGTAAGGGTATTTATGCATCGGGAATCAATTTATGTATGCTATGAGAAGAAAACTCTTATGCTCCATTATGTTTCCGGGACCTTATGTTGCAGGTTGGCATAGGGTTGCTTGTACTTCAACAACTTGGGGGCATTAACGGTGTCCTTTTCTATTCCAGTACAATTTTCGAATCCGCAGGTAGCCCACATTTTGAAACTTGGATTTTTTCCTTTTAAGAAAGCAATGATATGCCTATTCCTTTGTTATGTAAACCGCTGTTAAGATCCACATCTACCAGATTTGTGATTGGTTGATGCCTTATAAAACTATGGGCATCCTTTCCCTGATACGCTAACTTTTGGGATGAGTTCTACATGTGGGGCTTGAAAGGATTGAACTGGGTCTATCATTGGATGGGTTCTATCATTCGCTTGAAGTACACCCGGTTTGATGCCGCTCGTTTCATATTAAATTTAGTTTTCTCTTATTTCTCCCCATCAGGGGTTACATCAAGTAATGCAGCTACTTTCGGGGTCGGTGCTATTCAGGTATGTGGATTCAGAATAACCTGCAGGAATCTAAGATTCATTATATGCAATTTTCACTGTGTTTGGTTCTTACCAGGTCGTCGCCACGGCAGTAGCAACGTGGTTGGTGGACAAGTCAGGTCGTCGACTTCTTCTTACAGTGAGTATTAATATTGCCGTATCTCAAGATCTTTGAAGGAGAAATTACACACGGTTACTTGCTTGCTAGTTGAAACTTTATTATACCAAAATCGGCTAAACTACCTTGTAGTAATTCAACATAATGCCTTCTGTTTGAACGCAGATCTCTTCTGTCGGGATGACGGTCAGCCTCGTGATCGTGGCAGCCGCATTCTACCTGAAGGTATTCTTTTTCCTATCATCACATCTCGGAATCTATTTTGGAAAAAGGTCAACAAAGAGAAACCCTTTTCTGTTCTACCATTTGGAGTTTCACTTTCCGAAACTGCATCTTCTTACAGGGCTTTGTATCGCATGATTCCAACATGTACAACATGCTGAGCATCTTGTCGGTTGTCGGAGTAGTGGTACGTTGTTCACATGTTTTACGTTTTTTGTTCGTTGTGGCGAAATTTACGTGAGGCAACATCAGGATATCCGTTGCATAATCTGATGTTTCATCCAGGCTATGGTTGTTGCTTTCTCCTTGGGAATGGGACCAATTCCTTGGCTCATTATGTCTGAGGTATAATAAGTGTTGTGCTTCAATTGAGACAACATCTTGAGGATGTTAGAATATTTTATCGAAACAATATTTGGCTAACTTTGATGTTTGATCTTTTTGACGTGGTACCGAAACAGATCCTTCCCGTGAACATAAAAGGTCTAGCCGGAAGTATAGCAACACTTGCCAACTGGTTTTTCTCTTGGTTGATCACTATGACTGCGAACTTGCTCTTGGCTTGGAGCAGTGGAGGTCTCTCTCTCTCTCTCTCTCTATATATATATATATAACAACAAATGCACCATACATGAATGAACACACACAATCATGCATGTTTTTAAGGCGATACGGGGATTGGTGTAGATACCCGATTTTCAGGTACCCGTCTTTCATGATAACAGAGGTCCAAGCACGGGTATAAGTAATTATAATTCGGTGACGGGCATCCACAGGCCCTGTGAACATTTATTGAGCACATATATATCACTGTTAATGTTCAGTATTTACCATTTTGCCGTCGGGTATGGGTTGGGTATCCTAAATTCTCAGTTACTCAGTCCGTTATTACTTGCATTATACGGTTTTTTGTTATAAATCTGTTTTTTAAATAATATTTGTGTTCAAATACCTGCAAATATCCAAAATTTTTGTCGGAACTTGTAGTTCAGGTACCCAGACTCTCGGGTATGAGTAGGGGCATCTATACTTTTAAGCCTTCATGTCTTCTGGGTTTTAGTAGCTCAATAGACAACAAGTTTGTGTCCAAACCCGCATTTTCCAAACCAAATCTTGACACTCTATATATAAGCTCTGATTTTCTTCCGGGCTCTTCACAGACACACTTAGCTTTCTTTCGACTCCGCGGAACACCAGAAAACTTGTCAATCTTATGCTGGGTTCGGTGTTTTCTCTGGTTAAGACTCTCTTTCTCGTCTTGTTCTACGCAGGAACTTTCACCCTCTACGCGTTGGTTTGTGCATTCACGGTAGTTTTCGTGAGGCTTTGGGTACCCGAGACGAAGGGGAAAACGCTCGAAGAAATTCAGGCCTTGTTCAGATGAGAGATAAGGTTCATTTCTCACCATTTTTCGCCATTCCAGATTTGTTTCTTCTCTCCATTTTTTTGTGTTCAAACATGTTTGGTGAAGAACAAGGATCAGAGAAATCTGAGATCTTACGGTCGTGTTAATGGCTGATGACACTGTTTGTTCGGACCAGAAGGAAATTGTATTCATATGTTGCAATAAAGCAGTCATGTTTTCTTGGCTGCCTGCCCACATGCCTACATGCCTTGTTGCCATGACTTGAACTTTATTCTCTCTCAATTTCCAATATAGATTAACAATTCGGTGGTATTTTTGGATTTATATTATAAATTAAAACCCGAAATATTAAATGATCACAACATTTTTGTTTTTAATGAAGCGAAATAAATTAATTGAAATTGATTTTCATTTTAAGGGAAATATATGAAACTTAAAATAACCAACAAAGTTTCATCGCCATGACTTAGCTTAGGTGGACATCCGTATACTTATTGCGTTTACGTTAATATATCACAAAGCAAAAAAAAAAAAAAAAGTATTTTATTTTTGCTTTTAAAAAGTATTTTATCATTCAAATCGCCCTTACACGTTGCCTCTCTCTTCTTCGTGTTGTTGGGCGTTTCTCCTAGAAGGAGAAGAGACGAACTCGACGACCAAACTTCAAAGCCTATGACTTTTCACTCGTTGTCCAAATCTCTCTCTCTTGGTCGATTGATTCATTCTACGTTGTAGATGATCATGAATTTTTTTTTTAAATTTTCGTGCACCAAATAATCTTGACTTTTTGAATTTGCGTAAAATTCAAGCACGCCTTTCACATCGTCCTGGGTTTCTTCGTTTTAGTCGACGTTGAGTTTATCAAAATTACGGGCTCTGAGTTTTTTTTTTTCCTCCCTTTTTTTCCTTTTTCTTTCCTTTCCCGTGTTGTAAAATTCTTAGATTCTTCCCAAATTTGAAAAAGGAAAAGTAAAGGGTCTTTTTAGATTCTTTTGTTCTTGCGGTTTTTTGATTATTTTCATACAAACCCAAAAGCAGAGCGGCAGAGAAAGGGGAGAACACCAGAAAAGCTTTTGTGATTTTGGCGTTTCACAATCACAAGCATATTAGGAGGATCTTATCTGATCTTGGGCTTTCCCTAAAATCCGCAGGTAACGCGATTTACTTCTCCTTCGTTTTCGTGAATCCTGTAAATCTGTTCAATGCGACAAATTCGGAGGCTTTATCGTACCTTTGTAGCTGAACTGCTTGCTAATTCCATGGTGAACGGTGGGTTGGTTGCTGATTTCGCAATTTTCAATTTGATTCATTTAGATAGCGTTGCGGATCGTTGTACCCTTTTGTTGGAATTGATCTCTGGTTGTACAAAGTTGGCATTAACGTTGTTGTTTTTGTGCTAGTGCTGTCTGCATAGTTTTTATTTGAACTAGAGATTAGTGATGTCCATTTTTTCCAATGGAGAGCAAAAGGGCTCAACCATTGTTGTTAGGTTCACGTTATTGCTCTGCATTTTCGTTTCCGTATGAAAATCTTTGTTAACTCGATCAATCTCCCTCTTGACTGTGTGCCCAGTGATTTTTTATATTGGTGGATGCAAAGGTTGTGCAGGTGAAAGCGGCATTGTTTTTAGGCAGATAGCATTTGGTGTTATGGGCTGGTTTAGCAAGATCTTCAAAGGTTCTAACCAAAGGCTCCAAGTAGGGAATCCTCACTCAGATTTTTACGGAAATTCTCCTAATGCCTCTTCTCTCGGAGATGAACCTGGCGCGGATGCTGATGGAGATGAGCGTCATACACATGAGCCATCGACATCTGGGGTAAGCAAGATCTGCTGCTTCCTTAGCATATATATTTTTGTTGTTATACCTTTTTTCTTGGCCTTCCTCCCATGTTGCTCGTTGAGTATGGAGTTACATACAAGGCAATCATCTCCATTTGTAAGTTTGGGTGTTGTGAACTGCAACATTGAGTTTGTGTAATGCAAATTACATGGCTAGGAAAAAAAAAAATTCTCGTTATTGTTGTCTGTATCCTTAGATATTTCCAAGCAAGAGAATGTGAAGTAGGCAAAGTACAAACTTCCAGGCTTTTAATAAATCATATCTCTTTTGTATTGTGATGTTATTTAATAGTTTGTGGTTTTCTTGTATTAGGATACATTGACTGACCAGGAAAATGAAGATATAGATCATGCAATTGCACTGTCTCTTTTAGAAGAGAACCAAATAAGGAAAGGTCCAGTTGGTGAGTTTATTTTCCTTTGTGCCTTCTGCTCAAACATATTTCATAAGACACATCTGCGTTTATTTGTTTGTCACAGCAACGGCGTTTTGAAATCATTATCTGTTATGTTAGACATGTGTTATTAGATTTGTTCTGGTTCAGCATATCGCAGCTTGTAAGAATTACAAAATCATTGGTATAGGTAACCAGTCACTGTTGGACGAAGATGAGCAGCTTGCTAGGGCCATACAAGAAAGTTTGATAGTGGGGACTTCGCCCCGTCACAAAGGGGGAAGTACATATGACAACGGTAATACGTATGGAACTGGAAATGTGTACGGGAATGGGCATATGTATGGTGGCGGGAATATATATGGGAGTGGAAACATGTATTATCCCGTACCAGTCACTTTTCCTATGGATTTCAGGTACTTGAAAACTATTTGCTTTAATGATTTGATTTCCTTGACGTAATGCCCCCCAAATATTTTAGCCAGCCAGGTAATTTGTCAAGCTTTATGCATAGGATTTGTGCTGGCTGTAATATGGATATTGGCCATGGAAGATTCCTGAACTGTCTTAATGGGCTTTGGCATCCTGAATGTTTCCGATGTTACGGTTGCAACCAGCCGATTTCTGACTATGAGGTGAGTATTTCATTACACGAGCTTTTCCAATATCTGGTGTTATGAGCTGGACATGACCTTTACACTAATTCAGTGTGCTTCCCTTACCGTATAGTTTTCAACATCTGGGAACTACCCTTTTCACAAGGCTTGCTACAGGGAGAGATATCATCCAAAATGCGATGTTTGCAGCCACTTTGTATGTATCTATTAACTTTCAATCCTCGAGTCCATTACAGATTCCATCATGCATATATTTGAACTTATGATTATATAGCCTATAATTTTGGTTATTCACCTTTTGAATGTATCACTATTAAGCATCAACATCGCCTTAATCCCAAGTTTATTTGGATCACTAATAAATAGCATATTGGAGTGAATTTGATCATCTTCTATCTAAATGTTACTTAAATGGGAACCAAAGATCCAGTTTGAACCGAAACCAGTAGACGAATTACTATCCTAGAGTGTTAAAGTGAGATTCTTTCTGCAGTATGACATATCGGAAAACTGTACTCATACACATCTTTGTTTCTTTTCATAGAAGTAACTTAATATGTAAATTTTTTTGGAACGTAAATTTTTGACAGATTCCAACCAACCCTGCTGGTCTTATTGAATATAGGGCACACCCCTTTTGGATCCAGAAGTATTGTCCTTCTCACGAACACGATGGTACACCAAGATGTTGCAGTTGCGAGCGGATGGAGGTTAGTTTTATGACATTATGACATACTCAAAGATCTTTTCTGTAAACTTTCACAACATACTCCATAAACTCACAGTTTACTACATGGCTTAAATTTTGCAGCCACGGGACACTGGATACGTTGAACTTATTGATAGACGAAAGCTTTGCCTTGAGTGTCTTGAGTCAGCAGTCATGGATACCAACCAATGTCAACCCCTGTATTTGCAGATACAAGAATTTTATGAAGGACTTGACATGAAGGTGGAACAGGAAGTTCCACTGCTTTTGGTTCAGAGGGAGGCGTTGAATGAAGCCAGAGAAGGAGAAAAAAACGTAAGTAAAAACAATGAATACATCACACCTTTCTTGGAAAACGTATTCCCTATTATGTACCCAAAATAGTTTTACATTGAAGGATCACAAATCTTTGTCAAATGCAGTTTCTGTTTCCAATTTTTACATCCTCAGTTTAAAGTTAGTAGATTCGGAAGCGTTTGGTTTATCTTGTCTCGTGTTGTGTTTCTTTAAAAACTAGGGCCATTATCACATGCCGGAAACAAGAGGACTCTGCCTTTCGGAAGAG